CCTTTATTGACTACGTTTCGCCCACACAGTGGGCTTTTTCAAGTCACAAACAGAACTACCTTGGGTGGAAGGAACGCGTTCCTTCCACCCAAGGAAGTTCTGTTTGTGACTTGAAAAAGCCCACTGTGTTGGGCGAAACGTAGTCAATAAAGGATCACATATACTGCATTTGTGTTTATATTGCCATTCCCATATGCTGCATAAGTGTCTCAATTTTCATATATATTATATATAAATATAAAATATATATATTATATATATTATATATATATATATATATATAAATATATATATATATATATATATATATATATATATATATTTATATATTTATATATAATATATGACAGTATCACGGAGTTTGCTGCAGATTTATCGGTTTCACATTTATGCTGCGAATCTCCCTTGCCACAATATCCCAAATGTTTATGCTAAATTCTGACCCTACCATCTGCATGTAGCAGCAGAAATCGTTATTCATCAGACAAGGCGACGTTTCTCTAGTCTTCAACTGTGCTGTTTTGATGAGCCACTGCCCACTGTAGCATCAGTTGTTAGCTGACAAAAGTGGGACCCGGTGTGGTCTTCAGTTGCTTCCACCCACCCACTTCAAGGTTCGACGTGCTGTGCATCCAGAGATGCTCTTCAGCACTACAGAAGACTAACAAGCATTTCTTTAACAATATATTTATTATTATTATTATTATTATTATTATTATTATTATTATTATTATTATTATTATTATTATTATTATTATTTTTATTAAGTAAAGAAAAAATCAAGAAAAAGCTCAATAAAATTGGGAAGAAGTTTAGCTAAAAAATCATAAAAAAGAAGTTTGAGACATGAAAGGTTTACAAAATTTTCTGTCTCATCTATTATCTAGTCTATTGTCTGGTATATTTTCTGGTCTATTATGTGGTCTATTGTGTAGTCTATTGTTTGGTCTGTTGTGTGCTCTTCTGTCTGGTCTATTGTCTGGCCTATTGTCTGGTCTACTGTCTGTTCTGTTGTCTGGTCTATTGTCTGAGCTATACATAAAATAGACAGGTCACGGCCTGGACAACACGGATATTGGAGCAAAAGGTCAGTGAGGTATGCATAGGAAGGTTCGGCTCTGCTCCAGCTCTCCACATCACGCTGTCAACTGGGAAGCAGCAAACATCACGCTCTCAACTGGGAAGAAGCAAACATCTCGCTCTCAACTGGGAAGAAGCAAACATCTCGCTCTCAACTGGGAAGCAGCAAACATCACGCTCTCAACTGGGAAGCAACAAACATCACGCTCTCAACTGGGAAGAAGCAAGCATCACGCTCTCAGCTGGGAAGAAGCAAACAGCACGCTCTGAACTGGGAAGCAACAAACATCACGCTCTCAACTGGGAAGAAGCAAACATCACACTCTCAACTGGGAAGAAGCAAGCATCACGCTCTCAGCTGGGAAGAAGCAAACAGCACGCTCTCAACTGGGAAGAAGCAAGCATCACGCTCTCAGCTGGGAAGAAGCAAACAGCACGCTCTGAACTGGGAAGCAACAAACATCACGCTCTCAACTGGGAAGAAGCAAACATCACGCTCTCAGCTGGGAAGAAGCAAACAGCACGCTCTGAACTGGAAAGCAACAAACATCACGCTCTCAACTGGGAAGAAGCAAGCATCACGCTCTCAGCTGGGAAGAAGCAAACAGCACGCTCTGAACTGGGAAGCAACAAACATCACGCTCTCAACTGGGAAGAAGCAAACATCACGCTCTCAAACTGGGAAGAAGCAAACAGCACGCTCTGAACTGGGGAAACAACAACATCACGCTCTCAACTGGGAAGAAGCAAAAAAATCTCGCTCTCAACTGGGAAGGGAAACAAACATCACACTCTCAACTGGAAGCAGCAAACATCACGCTCTGAACTGGGAATAAGCAAACATCACGCTCTCAACTGGGAAGCAACAAACATCACGCTCTCAACTGGGAAGCAGCAAACATCACGCTCTCAACTGGGAATAAGCAAACATCACGCTCTCAATTGGGAAGAAGCAAACATCACGCTCTCAACTGGGAAGCAGCAAACATCACGCTCTGAACTGGGAATAAGCAAACATCACGCTCTCAACTGGGAAGCAACAAACATCACGCTCTCAACTGGGAAGCAGCAAACATCACGCTCTCAACTGGGAATAAGCAAACATCACGCTCTCAACTGGGAAGCAACAAACATCACGCTCTCAACTGGGAAGCAGCAAACATCACGCTCTCAACTGGGAATAAGCAAACATCACGCTCTCAACTGGGAATAAGCAAACATCACGCTCTCAATTGGGAAGAAGCAAACATCACGCTCTCAACTGGGAAGCAGCAAACATCACTCTCTCAACTGGGAAGCAGCAAACATCACGCTCTCAACTGGGAAGCAGCAAACATCACGCTCTCAACTGGGAAGCAGCAAACATCACGCTCTCAACTGGGAAGCAGCAAACATCACTCTCTCAACTGGGAAGCAGCAAACATCACGCTCTCAACTGGGAAGCAACAAACATCACACTCTCAACTGGGAAGCAGCAAACATCACGCTCTCAACTGGGAAGCAGCAAACATCACACTCTCAACTGGGAAGCAACAAACATCACGCTCTCAACTGGGAAGCAGCAAACATCACACTCTCAACTGGGAAGCAGCAAACATCACGCTCTCAACTGGGAAGCAGCAAACATCACACTCTCAACTGGGAAGCAACAAACATCACGCTCTCAACTGGGAAGCAACAAACATCACGCTCTCAACTGGGAAGCAGCAAACATCACGCTCTCAACTGGGAAGAAGCAAGCATCACGCTCTCAACTGGGAAGCAGCTAACATCACACTCTCAACTGGGAAGCAGCAAACATCACGCTCTCAACTGGGAAGCAACAAACATCACGCTCTCAACTGGGAAGCAGCAAACATCACGCTCTCAACTGGGAAGCAGCAAACATCACCCTCTCAACTGGGAAGCAGCAAACATCACACTCTCAACTGGGAAGCAACAAACATCACACTCTCAACTGGGAAGCAACAAACATCACACTCTCAACTGGGAAGCAACAAACATCACGCTCTCAACTGGGAAGCAACAAACATCACGCTCTCAACTGGGAAGCAGCAAACATCACGCTCTCAACTGGGAAGAAGCAAGCATCACGCTCTCAACTGGGAAGCAGCAAACATCACACTCTCAACTGGGAAGCAGCAAACATCACGCTCTCAACTGGGAAGCAGCAAACATCACACTCTCAACTGGGAAGCAACAAACATCACGCTCTCAACTGGGAAGCAGCAAACATCACCCTCTCAACTGGGAAGCAGCAAACATCACACTCTCAACTGGGAAGCAACAAACATCACGCTCTCAACTGGGAAGAAGCAAACATCACGCTCTCAACTGGGAAGCAACAAACATCACGCTCTCAACTGGGAAGAAGCAAACATCACGCTCTCAGTTGGGAAGCGGGAAAAATCACGATCTCAACTGGGAAGCAACAAACATCACGCTCTCAACTTTGAAGAAGCAAACATCACGCTCTCAGTTGGGAAGCGGGAAAAATCACGATCTCAACTGGGAAGCAACAAACATCACGCTCTCAACTGGGAATAAGCAAACATCACGCTCTCTACTGGGAAGAAGCAAACATCACGCTCTCTACTGGGAATAAGCAAACATCAAGCTCTCAATTGGGAAGCGGGAAACATCACGCTCTCAACTGGGAAGCAGCAAACATCACGCTCTCTACTGGGAAGAAGCAAACATCACGCTCTCAACTGGGAAGCGGGAAACATCACGCTCTCCACTGGGAAGCAACAAACATCACTCTCTCAACTGGGAAGCAACAAACATCACGCTCTCCACTGGGAAGCAACAAACATCACTCTCTCAACTGGGAAGCAACAAACATCACTCTCTCAACTGGGAAGCAACAAACATCACTCTCTCAACTGGGAAGCAACAAACATCACACTCTCAACTGGGAAGCAACAAACATCACTCTCTCAACTTGGAAGCAACAAACATCACTCTCTCAACTTGGAAGCAACAAACATCACTCTCTCAAATGGGAAGCAACAAACATCACTCTCTCAACTGGGAAGCAACAAACATCACACTCTCAACTGGGAAGCAGCAAACATCACTCTCTCAACTGGGAAGCAACAAACATCACACTCTCAACTGGGAAGCAACAAAACATCACTCTCTCAACTGGGAAGCAACAAACATCACTCTCTCAACTGGGAAGCAACAAACATCACTCTCTCAACTGGGAAGCAACAAACATCACTCTCTCAACTGGGAAGCAACAAACATCACTCTCTCAACTGGGAAGCAACAAAAATCACGATCTCAACTGGGAAGCAAAAACATCACTCTCTCTAAACCTAGTGCCAATTTGAAAGAAAAATAATTATCAAATCTTCAATGACTGATTCCATAACAAACTTTAACCTACTGAGTACACAATGTAGTTCTGATGTTATCAAATTTACACTGAAAAAAGTTTAGAACAGCCAAGGCTGACATATTTTAGCCACTCTTCATACTGGTTTACAGCGCTGTATAGCCCTTGTGGCTTAGCGCTTCTTTTTGATTATAATAATAGTAATAATTCATACTGGTTTAAGTGCAGAGGCGTCGACCAGATGTGCAAAGAATTAAATACCACAAATTTGGATCAGTACGAATCTATGCATCGTTCGCAGATTCTTACCACCACTTGACTTGCTATCCATTATATCCTGTTCTGTCTTCCATTTCCTTTCTGCTGAGGAAATCCCCACCTGAGGGTCAACATGTACAGCCGATCTCTTTAATGCATTTCACAGACAAGAAATATATATATATATATATATATATATATATATATATATAATATATATATATATATATATATATATATATATATATATATATATGTTATGTATGTTTGTGCTACACATTGTATCTATTGTTGGTGTTTACTCAAAAGATGAATGGTGCTTCCCTAGAACTCGTTCGAAGTAAATTTTCCTGAAGGTTGCAACCCGAGTGACCATGGAGGGGAGGAGCCACATAGCAAGTCTCCTCACTGGGTATATAAACCTCAGCATCTCGCAGTCAACCCACTGAAGTTAAGTCTGTATCTTCAACATGAAAATTGTGAGTACCTTTTTATCATGTATTTATCTACTGCTTTTTAGAAAATATTTCAAACGTACAGCCCCTGAAGTTCATGAGTTCACATTGTAATCTGCTTAATATTTCTTAATAGAGACTGTTTTATGTGGTTGCAGTTGGCTCAGGTGTTGGCAGTGTTGGTGATCGTCCTCATAGGGACAGCTACGGCCATGCCAGGCCCTGACGCCCTCGCTGATCCTGACCCACAATTTGGAAGATTTGGTCATGGCGGTGGATTTGGTGGTGGATTCGGACATCGCGGTGGATTCGGACATCGCGGTGGATTCGGACATCGCGGTGGATTCGGACATCGCGGTGGATTCGGACATCACGGTGGATTTAGAGGTTGATTTGGTCATGGCGAATAACTAAATCTTCACTTTCTTGCTAATCACATTTAACATGAAGAATCCTGCCACGGAATAAAACACAGAAGTATGAGTAAATAGTGAACTTGCCATAATGAAATAAGAACGAGACTTTGTCTGCTGGAATGATCACAAAATACTGGAACTCACCCAATACCTCAAACTCAACCTATACTTCCCCAGACAACAGAATGTTAAACTCTCCCGGCATCTATCATGAGTGCGGCGCCTTGACTATTTAACATTTTTCTCCATTATTTTTGTTGAGTAGTGACCAACATATTTTTCTGTAATTACCAACCATTGGCAGAATTTTTGAAAAAAAATAAATGTTTATTTTATTAACATTAAGTTTTATTTTTTCGTCCCATAGAATTACATAGAATTTTGGGTCATGCTTCCACTGCATTACTCTCCCTATTGTTCCACTAACTGACAACTCTAAGGCTGAAAATTAGTATTAGGAAGCCTGAGTAGATCTATAACCCACTATGATAACACGAACGTAGACAAGTACGTTTGTAGAGCAACTTGCAATGTGAACAGACTGACTGAAGTAGTTGCTTGGTTACAAATACTTCTGGCAGTCTGCAATACACACAGGTGATGAACAAACCAAATGCGAAGTATGTGACTAGCCCTACGGTCATTATCTTGAAGACTATTTGCTTAATTGTCGACTTACTGAGGTGTATACAGACAGACAGTACAATAACCTAGGTGACAGGTGAGAATATCCATATGATCTTGTGCTACCGTCCACAGGATGGATATAGGGTACACAATAAACTAGCCACTTCGGTGGCAAAATCTAATCTAAGGCCGCTGAAATACTTCTTAACATCCCTGTGACTCTGAATCATTCAGTCCCTGTCCACTTTGTCAATTCCTCTCATTATTTTGTAAGTCGTTATCATGTGTCCCCTATCTTCCCTGTCTTCCAGTATCGTCAGTTTGAGTTCCCTTAACCTCTCCTTTTAGTATATACCCCTTAGCTCCGGGACTAGTCTTGCTGCAAATCTTAATACATTCTCTAATTTCTTGACGTTCTTGACCAAGTGTGGGTTCCATACTGATGCTGCGTACTCCAATGAGCCTGAAGTACACGGATTTATGTCGAGGTTTCACTGTATGTTAGGACAGTAATACCTCGCTAAACCAGTGTTCACTACTGTAAGTTTGACTATCAGGAAGGACAGGCAAACTCGCTGTTAGAAAAATATACATTTAATATCGACGATAATATATACAAACACTATACAGAACACAATCAAACGTGCTTCAGCACTTTTCACAAAAACAAATACATTAGGATGCTATCAAGAAAAAATAAATTAATTAACCTGATGCTAGGTCCCAGAGGGCTCCATTAATTAACCCCACTCTCCCAGCCTCTTGGTAAATACTCTCCTGTTTCACTATCTCACCCAATACACCGGCCTCTACTCAGCCATAAGAGCCAGGTTCATACCAGGGCCCAGTTAAGCATAAGGATGAAACTCAAATATAGCTTACGATCTGACCCTGATAATAACAGTTTAAGAAACTTATGCGGTCGGCGTCACGATACCCCAGGCTGTGTCCGCGTGCCGCACGCTATCACATAGACACAATGCCTAAAAGAATAGTCACGCTGTGGCTTCACTCCCTAAAGCGCTCACAAATTGATGATATTATTCATAAAATTATGGCGCATTTTTTCACAATACCAGTACCTCACATTATACACAACAAGGCAGAAACTTCCATAACACTTCGTGTGTGTGTGTGTGGTGTGTGTGTGTACTCACCTAGTTGTACTCACCTAGTTGAGGTTGCAGGGGTCGAGTCCAAGCTCCTGGCCCCGCCTCTTCACTGGTCACTACTAGGTCACTCTCCCTGAACCGTGAGCTTTATTATACCTCTGCTTAAAGCTATGTATGCGCTCTGCCTCAACTACATCGCTTCCCAAACTATTCCACTTCCTGACTACTCTGTGGCTGAAGAAATACTTCCTAACATCCCTGTGATTCGTGTCTTCAGCTTCCAACTGTGTCCCCTTGTTGCTGTGTCCCATCTCTGGAACATCCTGTCTTTGTCCACCTTGTCAATTCCTTTCAGTATTTTGTATGTCGTTATCATATCCCCATCTCTCCTGTCCTCCAGTGTCGTCAGGTCGATTTCCCTTAACCTCTCCTCGTAGGAAATACCCCTTAGCTCTGGGGCTAATCTTATTGCAAACCTTTGCACTTCCTGTAGTTACTTTACGTGCTTGGCTAGGTGTGGGTTCCAAACTGGTGCCGCATACTCCAATATGGGCCTAACGTACACGGTGTACAGGGTCCTGAACGATTCTTTATTAAGATGTCGGAATGCTGTTCTGAGGTTTGCTAGGCGCCCATATGCTGCAGCAGTTATTTGGTTGATGTGCGCTTCAGGAGATGTACCTGGTGCTATACTCACCCCAAGATCTTTTTTCTTGAGTGACGTTTATAGTCTCTGGCCCCCTAGACTGTACTCCGTCTGCGGTCTTCTTTACCCTTCCCCAATCTTCATGACTTTGCACTTGGTGGGGTTGAACTCCAGGAGCCAATTGCTGGACCAGGTCTGCGGCCTGTCCAGGTCCCTTTGTAGTTCTGCCTGGTCTTCGATCGACTGAATTCTTCTCATCAACTTCACATCATCTGCAAACAGGGACACTTCGGAGTCTATTCCTTCCGTCATGTCGTTCACAAATACCAGAAACAGCACTGGTCCTAGGACTGACCCCTGTGGGACCCCGCTGGTCACAAGCGCCCACTCTAACACCTCGCCACGTACCATGCCTCGCTGCTGTCTTCCTGACAAGTATTTCTTGATCCATTGTATTGCCTTCCCTGTTATCCCTGCTTGGTCCTCAGGTTTTTGCACTAATCTCTTGTGTGGAACTGTGTCAAACGCCTTCTTGCAGTCCAAGAAAATGCAATCCACCCACCCCTCTCTCTCTTGTCTTACTGCTGTCACCATGTCATAGAACTCCAGTAGGTTTGTGACACAGGATTTCCCGTCCCTGAAACCATGTTGGCTGCTGTTGATGAGATCATTCTTTTCTAGGCGCTTCACAACTCTTCTCCTGATAATCTTCTCCATGACTTTGCATACTATACATGTCAGTGACACTGGTCTGTAGTTTAGTGCTTCATGTCTGTCTCCTTTTTTAAAGATTGGGACTGCATTTGCTGTCTTCCATGTCTTAGGCAATCTCCCTGTTTCGATAGATGTATTGAATATTATTGTTTTTAGGGGTACACATAGCGTCTCTGCTCCCTCTCAGGACCCATGGACAGATGTTATCTGGCCCCATTGCCTTTGAGGTATCTAGCTCACTCTGAAGCCTCTTCACTTCTTCCTCGGTTGTGTGTACTGTGTCCAGTACACTTGGTGGTGTACCCCACCTCTCCGTCTTTCTGGAACCTCTTGTGTCTCCTCTGTGAACACTTTTTTGAATCTCTTTTTGAGTACCTCACATACTTCACAGTCATTTCTTGTTGTCTCTCTTCCTTCCTTCCTCAGCCTGATTACCTGGTCCTTGACTGTTGTTTTCCTCCTGATGTGCCTGTATAACAGCTTCGGGTCAGATTTGGCTTTCGCGGCTATGTCGTTTTCATATTGTCGTTGGGCCTCCCTTCTTATCTGTGCATATTCATTTCTGGCTCTACGACTGCTCTCCTTATTCTCCTGGGTCTTTTGCCTTCTATACTTCTTCCATTCCCTAGCACACTTAGTTTTTGCCTCCCTGCACCTTTGGGTGAACCATGGGCTCATCCTGGCTTTTTCATTATTCCTGTTACCCTTGGGTACAAACCTATCTTCAGCCTCCTTGCACATTGTTGTTACATATTCCATCATCTCATTAGCTAGCTTCCCTGCCAGTTCTCTGTCCCACTAAACCCCGTTCAGGAAGTTCCTCATTCCCGTGTAGTCCCCTTTCTTGTAGTTTGGCTTCATTCGTCCTGGCCTGCCTGCTTCCCCTTCCACTTGTAGCTCTACTGTGTATTCGAAGCTTAAAACCACATGATCGCTGGCCCCAAGGGGTCTTTCATATGTGATATCCTCAATATCTGCACTACTCAAGGTGAATACTAGGTCCAGTCTTGCTGGTTCATCCTCTCCTCTCTCTCTTGTAGCGCTCCTTACGTGTTGGTACATGGAATTTTCCAGTACCACCTCCATCATCTTAGCCCTCCATGTATCTTGGCCCCCATGTGACTCCAAGTTCTCCCAATCGATCTCTTTGTGGTTAGAGTCACCCATGATCAGGAGCTTTGCCCTACATGCATGAGCTCTTCTGGCCACTGCAGCCAGTGTGTCAACCATCGCTCTATTATTCTCGTCATACTCTTGCCTTGGCCTCCTGCTGTTCTGTGGTGGGTTATACATCACTACAATTACCACCTTGGGACCTCCAGAGTGAAGCGTTCCCGCTATGCAATCGCTTGTTTCTCCGCTGTGTGTGTGTGTGTGTGTGTATGTGTATGTTTAATAATATTACATTTTTATTTCTACAAGTACATGTATAATATATGCAGGCTTAGCTGACATCAATGACATGCTACTATATAGAAAGCCACTTATTATGCAGAGCATTTCGAGCAAATTAGGTTAGTTTTGTCCTAGGATGCGACGCATACCAGTCGACTAACACCCAGGTACCAATTATTACTGATGGGTGAACATCGACAACCGGTGTGCGGAAACACGACCAATGTATATAACCTTTGGCGGAAATCGAACCCGGACCCTCACCGTGTGATGCGAGAGCTTTTGCCACCGTGGCCTCGTTCGAAATCAATCATAAATCTTCTTTCCAGTTTTTCCAAAAGGTTACAACCAAAGTGACCATGGAAGGGAGGAGCGACAGAATTAGAAAGTTTTCTCACTGGGTATATAAATCTCAGCATCTCGCAGTCAACCCACTAAAGTCGTCGAGACTATATCTTCTTCAACATGAAATTTGTGAGTACCTATTTATCATGTATTCACCTGTCAGGTATCTACTTCACTGTTATACAATAGATCTTAAACGTACAGCCCCTGACGTTCATAAAGCTCACATTATAACCTGCTTAATGTGTTTCATGTGGTTGCAGTTGGCTCTGGTGTTCGCGGTGCTGGTGATGGTCCTCGTAGGGACAGCCCAGGCTGATCCTGACCCACAATTGAGAGGATTTGGTCATGGCGGTGGATTTGGACATGGCGGTGGATTTGGACATGGCGGTGGATTTGGTGGTGGCTTTGGACATCGTGGTGGATTCGGACATCGCGGTCGATTCGGACATCGCGGTCGATTCGGACATCACGGTGGAATTGGTCATCTCGGATAAACAAATCTTTCCCTTCTTCTTAATCACATCCAACGTGAAGATTCCTGCCATGGATGAAAACACACGAAAATATGTATAATCAGTGAATCGAAAATTTATAAGTATCATAAACAGAAGAACACAACGCCAACGAACTTGCCATTCAGAAACAAGAACGAGACTTCCTCTGCTGGAATGAACACACACAATCTATTTGCACTCACTCAATACCTCAAATCTTGAGGTATTGCGGCACCTCGTATATTTAACAATGAATCTTCTCCATCATTTTTGTTGGGTTGTGACCAACTTATTCTTCTGTAATTGTCAACCATTCGTAGAATTTAAAAAATATATTTATTTTAAGAAATTCAGTTTTATTGTTTTCGTCCCATATAATTACATAGAACTTTAAATCCCGCTTCCATTTTGTTACTCTGCAGATTGTTCCACTTCCTGACAACTCTGAGTCTGAGGACTAGCATTGGGAATAATATTAGGACAGAAGTAAATAATAAAGTTGAATGTTATAAAAATGCAATTAGAATCCTGTGCAGATCTATGACTCACTATGATAACATGAACGTTAATAAATACGTTTATGGAGCAGCTTGCAATATGAACAGACTGACTGATGTAGTGGCCAGGTTTATTCTTGGTTACAAATACTTCTGGCAGTCTGGAATAAACACAGATGAGGATCAAATCAAATGCAAAGTATGTGACCAGCCCTTTGGTCACGATCTTGAAGACTTTGTGCTTAATTGTACACTTACAGAGGAATATAGAAATTGACAGTATAATAACGTATGTGACATGTCAGGATACCTTAATAATGAAAATAAGATACTAGATATATTAAACAAATTTCCTAAATTTCCTTGTAACAAATAAGTAAACTGTAGAATAAATCCAGATGTACTCCTATTAACCCTTTTGGGGGCTAGTTCATAGGTCTTTTGTGTATCCATGTGCTCTTGTGCTACCGTCCAATGGATGAATATAAGGTGAACAGTAAATTAGCCACTTCGATGGCAAAATCTAATCTAAGGCTGAAGAATTACTTCTTAACATCCATGTGACTCATTTGATTTTTCAACTGCCAGTTATGACTTCTCGTTCCTGTGTCCCATCCCTGAAACATTCTGTCCCTGTCCACTTTGTCAATTCGTCTCATTATTTTGTATGTCGTTAACATGTGTCCCCTATCTTCCCTGTCTTCCAGTGTCGTCAGGTTAAGTTCCCTAAACCTCTCCTCTTAGGACATACTCCTTAGCTCTGGGACTAGTCTTGTTGCAAACCTTTACACTTTCTCTAATTTCTTGACGTACTTGACCAGGTGTGGGTTCCATACTAATGCTGCAAATTCCAATATGAGCCTGACGTATACGGATTTGTCAATAATGACACGTTACTTAGAAGTCAAAACACTATTCTTAGGTTTACCAGGCACCCACATGCTGCAGCAGTAATTTGGTTGATGTGCGCATCAGGAGATGTGCTCAATATGATGCTCACCCCAACATGAGGTTTACAGCCTTTCAACTTGTGAGCGTGAATTGCATCTCCGGTCCTCTTTGTCCATTCCCAAGCAAAATATTTTTGCACCTGATGGGGTTAAACTCCAGCATCTATTTGTCAGACCAAGATTGCAGCCTCTCAAGAACCGATTGTAGTCTTCCCTGATCCTCGTCCACTTGAATTCTCCGCATTAGCTTTACGAAGTCTGAAAACAGTGACACCTTTGAATCTTTCCTTTCGGTCATGTTAATTCACATATTCCAGAAACAGCACTTGCAATGAAACTAACCCTTGTGGATTCCCGCTCGGCACATGCGCTCACCTTGACACCTCGTCACGCACCATCACTTGTTTTCTTCCTTTCAGGTATTCCCTGATCCACTGAACTGCTTTTCCTACTATAACTGCCTGCTGCTCTAGCTTTCGTACAGATCTGATGTGCGGAACCGTGTCGGAAGCCATTTTACAATCAAGAAAATGCAGTCTACCCAGCCGTGTCTCTCCTGTCTTACTTCTGTTACGAAAAATATTGGAGCTTTTTAAAAGCCTTATCTATGGACAAAAATAAAATAACAGAAAATAAACCACCCTACGGCCACGTTTAGTAATTTCACACAAGTGGTAAAGCAACGTTCACTACAGGAGGCTTGACTATCAGAATGACAGTCTAACTCGCTCTTAGAAAAATATACATTTAATAACCACGATAATATATAAAAACACTATACAGAACACACGTAAACGTCCTTCAGCACTTTTCACAAAAACAAATACATTAGGATGTTATCAGGCTAGGACACAGACGAAAAATAAATAAATTAACCTGACGCTAGGTCCCAGAGGGCTCCATTAATTAACCCCCACTCTCCCAGCCTCTGGGTAAATACTCACCTGTTTCACTATCTCATCCAATTCACTGGCTCCCACTCATCCACAAGAGTCAGGCTCATACCAGGGCCCAGGTGAGCATAAAGGATAAACTCAGAATTACGATACAGCCTGAATCTGATAACAAAACAGTTCAAGAAAATTATGCGGGTCGGCGTCACGATACCCCAGGCAGTGTCCGCGTGACCGCACGCTATCCCATAGACACAATGCCTAAAATAATAGTCATGCTCCGGCTTCACTCCCTGAAGGTCCCAAACATTCATAAAAATAATAATAATAATAATATTTTATTTACTACAAGTACATGGTATACAGTCCTAGCTGACATCAATGACATACTACTATATAGAAAGCCCCTTGTTATGCTCAGCATGTCGGGCAAACTAGGTCAATGTCCCAGGATGCGACCCACACCAGTCGACTAACACCCAGGCCCCCATTTTACTGATGGGGAACATAGACAACAGGTGGAAAGAAACACGCCCAATGTTTCTACTCTTGGCTGGGAATCGAACCCGGACCCTTGCCTGTGTGAGGCGAGAACGTTAGCCACTAGGCCACCAGAGCACTTTTTCCACAATACCAGTACCTTCTTACATTATTCACAACAATGCAGAAACTTACTTAACACTTCGTGTGTGTGTGTGTGTGTGTGTGTGTGTGTGTGTGTGTGTGTGTGTGTGTGTGTGTACTCACCTAGTTATAATCACCCGTTGTGGTTGCAGGGTCGTATCATAGCTCCTGGCCCCGCCTCTTCACTGGCCGCTACTGGGTCACCTTCCTGCACCATTAGCTTTATCATACCTCTGCTTAAACCTATGAATGGATTCTGCTCCACTACATCGCTTCTCAAACTATTCCCCTTCCTGACTACTCTGTGACTGAAGAAATACTTCCTAACATCCTTGTGATTCATCTGTGTCTTCAACTTCCAACTGTGTCCCCTTGTTGCTGTGTTCCATCTCTGGAACAATCTGTCTCTGTCCACCTCGTCAATTCCTCTAAGTATTTTATATGTCGTTATCATGTCGCCCCTATCTCTCCTGTCATCCAGTGTCATCAGGTCGATTTCCCTCAAACTCTCCTCGTAGGACATACCTCTTAGCTCTGGAACTAGTCTTGTTGCAAACCTTTGCACTTTCTCTAGTTTCTTTACGTGCTTGGCTGGGTGTGGGTTCCAAATTGGTGCCGCATACTCCAATATGGGCCTAACGTACACGGTGTACAGGGACCTGAACGATTCCTTATTAAGATGGTGGAATGTTGTACTGAGGTTTCCTAGGTGACCATATGCTGCAGCAGTTATTTGGTTGATGTGCGCCTCAGGAGATGTGTCTATTGTTATACTCACCCCAAGATCTTTTTCCTTGAGTGTGCTCCGTCTACGGTCTTCTTTGTCCTTCCCCAATCTTCATGACTTTGCACTTAGTGGGGTTGAACTCCAAGAGCCAATTTCTGGACCAGGTCTGCAGCCTGTCCGGATCCCTTTGTAGTTCTGCCTGGTCTTCGATCGACTGAATTCTCCTCATCAACTTTACATCATCTGCAAACAGGGGCACTTCGGAGTCTATTCCTTGCATCATGTCGTTCACAAATACCAGAAACAGCACTGGTCCTAGGACTGACCCCTGTGGAACCTCACTTGTCATAGGCGCCCACTCTGACACCTCGCCACGTACCATGACTCGCTGCTGTCTTCCTGACAGGTATTCCCTGATCCATTGAAGTGCCTTCCCTGTTATCCTGATTGGGTCCTCCAATTTTTGCACTAATTCTTGTGTGGAACTGTGTCAAACGCCTTCTTACAGTCCAAGAAAATGCAATCTACCCACCCCTCTCTCTCTTGACTTACTGCTGCCACCCTTTGTGTGTGTGTGTGTGTGTGAACTCACCTAGTTGTACTCACCTAGTTGTACTCACCTAGTTGAGGTTGCAGGGGTCGAGTCCAATCTCCTGGCCCTCCTCTTCACTTGTCGCTACTAGGCCACTCTCCCTGAACCGTGAGCTTTACCATACCTCTGCTTAAAGCTATGTATGGATTCTGCCTCCACTACGTCGCTTCCCAAACTATTCCACTTCCTGACTACTCTGTGGCTGTGTGTGTGTGTGTGTGTGTGTGTGTGTGTGTGTGTGTGTGTGTGTGTGTGTGTGTGTTGTGTGTGTGTATTCACCTAATTGTACTCACCTAATTGTGGTTGCAGGGGTCGAGACTCAGCTCCTGGCCTCGCCTCTTCACTGATCGCTACTAGGACCTTTCCCTCTCTGCTTCCTGAGCTTTGTTCATACCTCTTCTTAAAACTATGCATGGTTCCTGCCACCACTACTTCACTTGCTAGGCTATTCCACTTCCTGACGACTCTATGACTGAAGAAATACTTCCTAACGTCTTGAACGATTCCTTATTAAGGTATCGGAACGCTATTCAGAGGTTTGCCAGGCGCCCGTATGCTGCAGCAGTTATTTGGTTGATGTGTGCCTCCGGTGACGTGCTCGGTGTTATGGTCACCCCAAGGTCTTTCTCCCTGAGTGAGGTCTGTAGTCTTTGTCCACCTAGCCTATACTCTGTCTGCAGTCTTCTTTGCCCTCTCCCCAATCTTCATGACTTTGCATTTGGCAGGGTTGAATTCGAGAAGCCAGTTTCTGGACCACATGTCCAGCCTGTCCAGGTCTCTTTGCAGTCCTGCCTCATCCTCATCCTATTTAATTCTTCTCATCAGCTTCACATCATCTGCGAATAGGGACACTTCAGAGTCTATTCCTTCCATCATGTCGTTCGCATATATCAAATATAGCACTGGTCCTAGAACTGACCCCTGTGGGACCCCGCTCGTCACAGGCGCCCACTGTGATACCTCTTCATGTACCATGACTCGTTGCCTCCCTGTCAGGTATTCTTGATCCATTTCAGTGCCCTCCCTGTTATATGCGCCTGATCCTCCAGCTTCTGCACTAATCTCTTGTGGGGAACTGTGTCAAAGGCCTTTCTACAGTCTAGGAAAACGGAATAACCCACCCCTCTCTCTTGTGTCTTACTTCTGTTACCTTGTCATAAAACTCCGAAGGTTTGTGACACAGGATTTGCCTTCCATGAACCCATGCTGGTTTTCATTTATAATCTTGTTTCGTTCCAGGTGTTCGACCACTCTCCTCCTGATAATCTTCTCCATGACTTTGCACACAATACATGTCAGAGACACAGGTCTGTAGTTTAGTGCCTCATTTCTGTTTCCTTTCTTAAATATGGGGACTACATTTGCTGTCCTTCATTTCTCAGGTAGTTGCCAAGTTTCAAGGGATGTGTTGAAGATTGTGGTTAGGGGCACGCACAGCATCTCTGCTCCTTCTCTAAGGACCCATTGGGAGATGTTGTCCGGTCCCATCGCCTTTGAGGTATCAAGGTCACTTAGCAGCTTCTTCACCTCCTCCTCAGTTGTTCGTATGTCATCCAACACTTGTTGGTATATTCCCTCTTGATGTTCCCTTCTGTGCTGTCTTCCAGAGCCCTTCCTGTCTCTACTGTAAAAAACTTCCTTGAGTCTCCTATTTAGCTCCTCACATACCTCCTGATCATTTCTTGTGAGTTCTCCACCTTCTGTCCTCAGTCTGATCACCTGGTCTTTGACTGTTGTCTTCCTCCTGATGTGGCTATACAACAGTTTCGGGTCAGTTTGATTTTCGATGCTATGTTATTTTCATACTGTCGCTGGGCCTCCCTCCTTACCTGTGCATACTCGTTCCTTGCTCTGCGACTGATCTCCCTATTTTCATGTGTTCTCTGCCTTCTGTGCTTCTCCATTCTCTATTGCACTTTGTTTTTGCCTCTTTACACCGTCGGGTAAACCAGGGGCTCGTTCTGATCTTCCCATTGTTTCTGTTGCCCTTGGGAATAAACTTTTCCACTGCCTCCTTGCATTTTGTTGTCACATATTCCATCATTTCATTTCCCTTTCCGGCTTTCCAGCCTAAGTTCCGTCCCACGGATACCTCTTTTGCAGGAATTCCCCAACCCTTGTATCTCTCCTCTTATTATAGTCTTCAAGGCATACCACTTCATACTCCTGGTGACTCTCTCACTTGGCACTCTATATGTGATTCAAAGCACAGCAACCTCTGGTCACTTACTCCTTAGGACTCTACAATGTGTGCTGTTGTCCTCCAAATGTCATGATGGCCAGGTGTGAACACAAGGTCCAATCTTTCTGGTGTGTGCCTCCGCTTCACTTGGTAGTGTCTTAACTGTTGTGTGATGAGGTGTGTGTGTCCAGCACCAATGTATGTGTGTGTGTGTGTGTGTGTGTGATTTAATATAATATTAATCTTTGTTTCTACAAGTACATGTATAAGGTATGCAGGCTTAGCTGACATCAATGACATACTACTATATAGAAAGCCACTTATCATGCAAAGTATTTCGGACAAATTAGGTTTGTTTTATCCCAGGATGCGACGCATACCAGTCAACTAACACCCAGGTACCCATTATTACTGATACGTAAACATGGACAACCGGTGTGAGAAAACGCGCCCATTGTTTCCAACTTTTGCCGGGAATCGAGCGCGGACTCTCACCGTGTGAAGCGAGAGCTTTTGCCACCGTGGCCTCGTTCTATTTTTTCCAGAAGGTTGCAACCCAAGTGACCATGGAAGGGAGGAGCGACAGAGTAAGAAAGTTTTCTCACTGGGTATATAAATCTCAGCATCTCGCAGTCAACCCACTGAAGTTGTCCAGACTATATCTTCTTCAACATGAAATTTGTGAGTACCTATTTATCATGTATTCACCTGTCAGGTATCTACTTCACTGTTATACAATAGATCTTAAACGTACAGCCCCTGACGTTCATAAAGCTCACATTATAACCTGCTTAATGTGTTTCATGTGGTTGCAGTTGGCTCTGGTGTTCGCGGTGCTGGTGATGGTCCTCGTAGGGACAGCCCAGGCTGATCCTGAACCACAATTGAGAGGATTTGGTCATGGCGGTGGATTTGGACATGGCGGTGGATTTGGACATGGCGGTGGATTTGGTGGTGGCTTTGGACATCGTGGTGGATTCGGACATCGCGGTCGATTCGGACATCGCGGTCGATTCGGACATCACGGTGGAATTGGTCATCTCGGATAAACAAATCTTTCCCTTCTTCTTAATCACATCCAACGTGAAGATCCTGCCATGGATGAAAACACACGAAAATATGTATAATCAGTGAATCGAAAATTTATAAGTATCATAAACAGAAGAACACAACGCCAACGAACTTGCCGTTCTGAAACAAGAACGAGACTTTGTCTGCTGGAATGAACGCAGACAACTACTGGAACTCACCCAATACCTCAAACTCAACCCGTACTTCCCCCAACAACAGCATTTTGAACCTTACCAACCTCCATCATGATTACGGCGCCAAGGATATTTAACACTGATTCTTCTCCATTATTTTTATTGGGTTGTGACCAACTTATTCCTCTGTAATTGTCGACCATTGGCAGAATTTTTAAAAAATATATATAAATATTTATTAATTAATGAATTAAATTTATTTTAATTCGTCCTACAGAATTACACAGAATTTTGAAGCATCAACTCTAACAAAGCGAATGTCCATAGAGAGTCATTTAAAAACAGTTATGTATACTTAAGTTCATGTCCCATCAACATAATACAACAATTTTGCTAAATTGTACGATCACAAGCACACAAATTATGTATAAACACATGTATATATAATGGCTATGGTAAACACTTACCATTTACACACTGCATGATAAGAGTGTGTTAAGTCTTTACTATGCAAAAATAGCAGGTATTAAGTCTTTTCACTGCAGAAAAGCAGGTGTTAGGTCTTTACACTGCGAAAAAGCAGGTGTTTAGTCCTTACACTGCAAAATAGCAGGTGTTAAGTCTTTACATTGAGAGAAAAGCAGCCGTTACATATTTACACTGCAAGAATAAAATAAATATTAAATCTTTACACTACAAGACAGCAGGAGGAAAATTCTTTACATTTCTTCTCCCTTGAACCATCCTACTCTACAACTCCACGTTTATTCTATTAATTAGGAAAAGATTAACTTGGGAACATATAGCACTTGAGAATAGGACAGTAATTAGGCTCGTGCCAAGGAACAAGAGCTCTAATTCCTGGCATCAAGAGATCTTCACCAGCATCAACTCACCCCTCTGCAAGACGGGTAGAGGCAAAGACTGAAGGACATTAACAGAAATGAAGGTAAGATGAAGGACTCTTAGTTGATGGAGGAAATTGATGTCTGTTTGATGACTGTCAGAGAGTGGATTATTTACATTTACACTAGATGAGGAGATAAATGGTGTATATGATATATATATATATATATATATATATATATATATATATATATATATATATATATATATATATATATATATATATATATATATATATATGTGTGTGTGTGTGTGTGTGTGTGTGTGTGTGTGTGCTTTTGTTTTCTGAGTGTACAGCTGGTGTATGAGTTTGTATAATTGTAAGACTACGTGAGTGTATAGCTGGTGTATTAGCTAGTATATTTGTAATTATTATTGTTGTAATAAAAAAGCGCTAAACCGACAAGGGTCAAGAATAACTGAAAGACTACATTGAATTATTATTTGTGTATGTAAAAATACATGTGTTTCCCTGTGTATGAACTGATTACATAACTCACTGTGTAAGTCTGTTGGGACTGATACCGTAAGTTTCAAATATTTTAACTTTCTAGGTGACGTAAAGATAAATTGTTCTCCTTCGGAGAACAATTGGTAAATACTGAACAATTCGATAGTTGCTATTCAACGACCCCACGCTCGCGATGGAGGTTGTGGCTGGATGCTGAAGATGCTCGAGGCTGCAGGTGATGAACATTGATGCTGTGACTGTAGCTTGCATGCTTATTCATTCTACAGGCTCAAAATTTACAAACAATAAACTCTTTTGTCCTAGAGAAATAAATAAATAATTTATGTTAAGCTCTAAACCCATATGGGTCATTCAGCGCAAGACGTGGTTGGAGGCTTGATCCTCCGTCTGCTCATCGCCAGACAGACGCAAAAAAAAAGCAGAGTACATAATTAACCAAATCTACGAAAACCGAATCCTCCTCTAAATCCTCCATGGCTAAATCCGCCTACAAATCTTAAATGATCAAATCCGCCTCCAAATCCGCGATGACCAAATCTGCCTCCAAATCTGCGATTGCCAAATCCGCCTCCAAATCCGCGATGACTAAATCCGCCTCTAGATCTACGATGGCCGGAGCCGTTGTCTTCAAATTCTGTGACATGATGAATCAGGGCGTGAGGACCGGGCATCGCCTGGGCCAACCCAATCACCGTAGCCACCACAACCACTGTCGACACCACGGCCAGCTGCAACCACGGAAGAAAACCATTACTAAAGAGTTGTTAAGCCAACGAGAATGACAGTTTCCTAATAGATATTGACATGAGCAAGTTAGGCCAGTGACAGGTGACAATAATATGGAGCAACTTTTACGACTCCAGAAGCCCCTCCATGTGAATCAGTTGTGCTCTCCATGTGATCGCTCGTGATATATCCCGACTTACAAATCAAGTATTCTGTAATGAAAAAAATCATGTTGTGTTTGTTATATTAATCGCTAATTTGGAAGTATCACTTCTATATAAAGATTTTAATATGGTTGGACAAAAATATATGGATTTTTTGAGGAACGATGGGGGTGGGTAAATCTTAAGAAAAAAAGAAAACTTATATTATTATTTGTTTAAAAACCTGGGAACTTTGGGGATTGTTTAACACCACTGAAGGAAAATGATGAACCGTGGTTAACGTGATGACGTATCTTCAGCCATAGTTACTCAGACACAGGTACAGAAAGGATTCAAGCCTATATATGCTTAATTTAACTAAAGAAAATTATTGTTTTATTATCGTATCTCTAAGTGGACACTTGCCCACCCTCAGGAGCCTTCTCACCTTTATTGACTATGTTTTGCCAACATGGTGGACTTTATCAAGCCCACTGTGTGGGCGATACGTAGTCAACACAATATCGCATTATAAGGCATTTCTGTCTATTTTTCCAGGTGAGAAAGAACAGCATGCTACAGAAAGACTGTCAATTCTATCCCTGGACTCTAGGGGATCTGAGTGAAGGATCTTGAGACGAAGGTGTGTGAGGTACTCACAAATTTCATGTTGAAAAAAAGGTGTTGTCTCTACAACTGCGGCTGATAGCTATGAAGTGCAGATGTTTATATAGCGACTCGGAAAATTTCTCGCTTTGTGGCTCCACCTCCCTCCATGGTCACGCAGTAATTTCCGCGTGATTGGGGAGATAAAAATGTTCTATCCAGGTTAAAGCTTATAAGATTTTGGCCTCGAGCTGTTAGTTTACTGGTCGGAGGTGTTCCTTATGTAAGTGAATATACTGCTGTGTTAAGACACTACATTGGTATTGTTATTGCTGAAAAGTGTTGCTCATCTTATTCTTCAACTTGCAAGTATCGTCTATCATCGGTAACACGACACTGCTTTAAGGAAAGAGTCTTAATAACAAGTTGGTGATAAATACTCCAAATCCGCGATGGCCGGAGCCTCTGCCTCCAAGCTGAGGGTCATGATCAATCAGGGCGTCACAACATCAACTAATTTTCATTATCTAGTGTCTGGAAAGTTTGCATATTTTAGTACAATGGCTACGAACATTAATTACAAGGTGAGTAGACTTCTCTTAAGTACTGATGATATTAACGCTACGTGTTACAGTCTAGGATATATTGTCCATGTCTGTGTATTTATTGAGAACTTTCTCAACCCTGCTGGTTGGTTAATGGGGTTAAAAGCCTATCGACTACACGAAGGCCATTAAGGCTGCAAGTCAAAAATACTTTAATCCCGAAAACAGGGATTACAATAAACTCTCAGTATATACACTGCATTGTGTGACGGCGCTGGATATCACTCAGGCTTAATAACTAGCACATATAATCTATTATTCTGATTATTAGAAATACTGAACTATGTATTATACTGTATTGCATTGTACTGTATTGTATTAATACAAATTTAACTAATATTTTTTTACTTTTTTCTAGGATTTCTACATTTTTTCCTACCTTCCTACCCCTTCAACAACATTATTAGTGATGTTCCAGGAGTCATTAGAGTTGTGATGCCCGTGTACTACACACAGTACAGCTACTGAATGAATAGTGATAAATGTGTTTTTTTTTTTTGTCAACTTGCCTTGGTAGAAAACAGCAAGTGCGGTACAATTATTATTATTATTATTATTATTATTATTATTATTATTATTATTAGTTGTAGTAGTAGTAGAGAATTACTGTACGCTGAAAGACAGTCATGTGTTATCCAAAACAAGTCACCAGTCAATATTTACTACTAGTCAAGTTGCCTAGTTGGTTAGTTTATAACACTAGTCATTATTTACAACTCCCAGCACATTTACACAGAGATAAACAACTCTGTGTGTACAATATAACTTGAACCTGCCAAGACCTAGCTGTGTCCACATGTTGGTTTTATTCTACAGTGTGTGTAGTAGTAGTATTAGTAGTAGCTATAGTAATAGTAGTAGTAGTAGTAGCAGCAGCAGCAGCAGTAGTAGTAGTAGTAGTAGTAGTAGTAGTAGTAGTGGTAGTAGTAGTAGTAATATTTGTAGTAGTTACTAGTTGTCAAAGGCACATGTCGACAGACTCTTGGCATGCCGTGTGTTTGTGTGTGTGTTCTTACCTATTTGTGGTTGCAGGGGTCGAGTCATAGTTCCTGGCCTAGCCTCTTCGCTAGTCGCTACTAGGTCCCCTCTCTTCCTGATCCATGAGCTTTGTCTAACTTCTTTTTAAAGCTGTGTATGGATGCTGCCTCCACTACATCACTCTTCAGATTGTTCTACTTCCTGACGACTCTGTGGCTGAAGAACTTCCTAATATCTTGTGACTCATCTGAGTCTTCGACTTCCAGGTGTGACCCCTTGTTGCTGTGTCCCATCTCCGAAACATCCTGTCCCTATCTACCTTGTCAATTCCTCTCAGCATTTTGTATGCCACACCCCCGTATCCCTCCTGTCCTCTAATGTCGACAGGTCGATTTTCCTTAACCTCTTCACGAAGAACATACCTCTTAGCTCCGGGAATAGTCTTGTTGTAAACCTTTGCACTTTCTCTAACTTCTTGAATTGCTTGACCAGGTGTGGGTTCCATACTGGCGCTGCATACTCCAATATGAGCCTGACATACACGGTGTACAGAGTCTTAAATGAGTCCTCACTGAGATGTCGAAACGCTATTCTTAAGTTTGCCAGGCACCAATATGCTGCAGCAGTTATTTGGGTGATGTGCGCCTCAGGAGATGTGCCCCGTGTTATACTCACCCCAAGATCCTTTTTTTCTTA